CATTCCATAATTTAATACCAGAGAAAGCAAAGGAATTAAAACCCTGACCTTTGACCTGAGGTAGACAATACCAACCCTTTTGACTAAGTATTGCACTATAATTATGTATGGAATTTTGCGAAAAAAAGTGTTCAGACCTGTAATCCGGAAACAGGCCATTTTTATCTTAAAAACATGACACAACATTATCTGTTCAACTCTTTTGTGGACCGGTAACCAGTTAAGGGACTTAAAGTAGGATGGGTCAATATGGGCTCTGGAGTCCAAGTCAAGTACAAATCTCATTATTTTGTTTTGACAAGTTTGTAACTTATTTTTTAAAGACTGTGTCAAGCTATTATACCAAACAGAGCATGCGTAATCAAAGTGACACTGAATAAGAGACATAACCAGAAGTTTCTTGGTATGGTGAGTAAGAAACTCTTTCTTGCGGTAAAGAAATTTAAACCGAGAGATGGCCTTTTTAAGAACAGACTCGGCCAGATTTTGGGCTATAGTAATCCCAAGATACTTGATAGATGAAGTTGATTCAATGGATGTACCAGAACCAGAATGTATGCAGGTTAAATTGTTACCTAAGCTTTTGTCTGGACCCAAATAAAATTGACTCGGTTTAACCCAAGTGCAATGACAACTTATTGTCCACAGACCATTGGCTGACCAATTCAATCTCATCTGTCAATGCTTTTTTAACAACAGATAAACTTTTACCAGATACAAGGATACCAGAATCATCAGCATACAAACGCAATTTATTTTTGACCACAGCTAACATATCATTTACATAAATTAAAAAGAGAAGGGGTCCAAGGATTGAGCCCTGAGGAACACCACATGTTATTTTGGAATTAGAAGAATAAATACCAGAGACATCTACAAGCTGCTGTCTATCTGATAAATATGATTTGAACCAATTTAGGACGTCAATACTAAGACCTGATGCTTGCAGTTTCATTAAAAGAATGGAATGGTCGACTGTGTCAAACACTTTCTGCAAACCCAGCAGCACCATACCAACAACATTACCTTTATCATATTCATACCTGATAAAGCCTGTAAGGTGAATCAGACAAGTATCAGTAGAGAAGCCACTCCTGAAACCTGATTGAAATTGATACAGCAGATAAGCTTCAACCTGGTCATAAACCACCTTTTCAAGGATTTTAGATACATTTAAAATGGACACAGGCCAGTAATTACCATCAGACAATTTGTCGTTCTTTTTATAGAGGGGAGTAACTCTTGTAGATTTAAGATCATCAGGGACTTGACCTTGGATAAGGGATAAGTTTATGATATGAGCTAATGGACTAGCAATAACTGGGGATCCATCTGTGATAAAACGTGACGGTATACCATCTAAGCCAGTAGCTTTTTTGACACCTAATGAAATTAAGTATTTAAGAATTTTACTTTCAGAAACAATTGTACAAGAAAAACTGTTTGCAAAAACACCCTTGAGATTAATAAGTTCAAAATTAAATAAATCTATTTCATAGTTCGTGTTATTTAGTTATTCATGATCATGCAGCGTTTGCCGCAAAATGTTAGTCCGCGTGATCATATCAGGCCATTAATAAAATATTGTTTATTTCCCCTTCCGCTTCCTACCCACAAAAATCACAGCTACCCTAGAGATGTTATTGCCTTTTTTAGCTCGACTATTCGATAAGAATAAGTAGAGCTATTGTAGTCAACCAAACGTCGACGTAGCCACTTTAAAGTTTTTGTAATTCCTAAAATATTTTCAATGTCCATTGACATATGACTTTGAAACTTTGCACACTTGTTCACCATCATTGGACAGGAGGAGGTAACTGTATCAAGCATTTTGACAAAATTGTGCCCCTTTTTCGACTTAGAATTTAAGTTAAAATTTGTGTAACACCTCAAATATTTTCAAAATTCATTGACATATGGCTCCTGTAGACAGGAGTAGGTAATTCTATGAAGCATTTGGTAGAATAATGCCCGAATTTCAACTTAGAATTGACATTTAAGTTTGCATACCACTTCAGATATTTTCAAATTCTATTGACATCTGGCTTTGAAACAAGTTGAAATGTTATATTCTTCTTAAAGAGCGTAATAGGACTCTCTCCAAGGCCTATAACTGTAACATGGATTTAAAGAAAAAAAATGCCATTTTGTTATCATAGAAAATTTTACATTATCAATTCTCTTTTACTATCAAGCTCTAAGAATAGTCGAGCGTTGCTTTCCTACCGACAGCTCTTGCTTACTAAACATTGAAGCATAGTCTGTTTATAAGAATCGCTTCTTCGTGTCTGCCTCATGCTTTTAATTGTTAATATACCGACTGGACTATTATGTAAAAATATGGTTCTAAACTTAAAACAGGTCCTAAGCATTCACAGTTAGTTTTTTGAAGTCGCTATATTTTTCGGTAGGGAAAAATATATGATACCCAACCCAAACTTGCATAGGATTCGGGAGGGGAAACAAAAATAATTTTAAGGCTGACTTTCCCGCAGTATTTATTTTCCTCCGCCAATGGCACTATCAAAGGACCATTATGCCTCAGAAATGCTTTCAATTTGATTTCTCAAAAACTTGTAATTGTTGCAGTTTTGATAGTAATTCTCATCTGTCATAGACATGGACTGTCTTTTGCATATATAGTTCTGTTGGCAATCATCGGTATTATTGTAATGAATAAGTATTTTGTATGGAAGTCAAAATACCATTTTGTTGTGTCGCCTCTACGGAGTAGTGGCGACATATAGGGATCACTTCTCCGTCGTCTGTCTGTCCGTCTGTCTGTCTGTCTGTCTGTCCGTGCGTCCGTCACAAAACTTGTCCGGACTACTCCTCATAAATTACTGGTGCAATTTCATCCAAACTTTACAGGAATGATCAGTACCAAGTCTAGTTGTGCATATTGTCAGCATTTTCCGGTTCAATGATTTTTGTCAGAGTTATGGCCCTTTAATAATTTTTAATTTTAAAGTTTGTCCGGACTACTTCTCTTATACCACTTATGCAATTTCAATGAAACTTTACAGGATTGATCTGTAGCTCAAGTCCTTGCGCATATTGCACGGGTTTTCCGGTTGAATGATTTTTGGCCGAGTTATGGCCCTTTGATAAAAAGGTGTGTTTTTTGTGTGTTGCCAGATACGCAAAAGCTTATCCGCACTACTCCTCATAAACTACTGGGGCAATTTTATCCAAACTTTACAGGAATAATCAGTACCAAGTCTAGTTGTGCACTGTCCGTCTGTCTGTCCATCTGTCACAAAATTTGTCCCAACATAAAATTGGCCATCATGAGGCGACACATGTGATTACTGATCGCTCTTGTTTACATTTTGCTACCTTTATGACACATTACTGCACGTTCAGCAATTGTTAAAATGCCCTAAATGCCCTAAATCAATTATTCAAGTGCTATCAAATGCATGCCTGACTTTTCTAAAGAATTAAGAAAAAGGATTTCTGAGGAATAATCGCGGAGGAAAATAAATACAGTGTGTGTATGATTACCTGAAGTCAACACTTATGTATGACAGATATTATAATGGTATGTGTGTCTAATATTTTATCATTGACTACTTACAGCAATGTTTCATTGGAGAAAATAAATTATACAAAGTGTTGACTAAAAATATGAGAAAAAACATGTTTCAATTCGTGGAAATATGGGAATTTCGATGTGAATTGATACTTAATTGACATTAGACATTGTTAAATGTAACTCTATGAACTGATACGGAGTGGGTGAGGGAGCATGTTGTGTGATGTGTTGCATGCAAAAAATAGAATTTTCTTATTGTTAAAACCTAAAGTACTGCTGCAGAAAAAATATTAACATATATATTATGTATAGGACATTTTTTTAATTGTAAGTATATTACAACCTTATGACCTTACATTATAGTTGTAAACTAGTATCTTTTAATTGTATACTCTAGACTTGAGACAATTGTTTTAACTTTGTCACTACTCAAAATCTTGCATGACAAGGTTTATAACTAGAATCTTTATTTCAAAGGTTATTTCCTCTTTGCACTTGTAAGTTATAAGTTTACTTTAAACATTTTGTCTTTCTTTCGCTCTTTTTTGTTACTTCAGATTTAAGATTGTTTTCTTTTCCATTATAGCATAGAAATGTCTGTTTTAAACTTTTATTGTTATGGTCACATTCATTTTATGTGGTGCAAAAATATTGAACATTTTCAAGAGTGATTTTTGATACTGATGCAGAAATATATTTACGTCATATTTGTTTTTCCCCATAGCATTTTTATTGCATCCAGGATTTAATTAGTCGAGGGTGATTGTCTCCTCTAATAGCTCTTGTTAACATACTTCACATTTAAGTTTGGAACATTGCTATTAAAAATACAAGATATTTTATTTTGTGGTTAATTTATTTCATACTTCAGTCTTTTTATCATAGATCACATTTAATGCTTGACAATATTTTTAATAGCTTAACTATAAATTTTATTTTGACATTGTTATATTGGTGTAAGGGAGAGAACTCTTGCAAAACTGTTCAAATTTTTACTTTTTCAAAAGGAAACAACTCTTCTGGTCTTACCTGATACTTTCCAAAAGGGAGATTACTCTACCCTTTTTACATTTTACATGACATAAAATGACAAGATAATTGTAGAAATGTACATAACAGACTTATTGATCTCATGTGAACTTGAAAATCATCTATTTCTGATACAAGAATGTTTCATTTAAAATAGGACTGTTGAATTATTTTATCATATATCAAATGATTTCTTTAATAAAAGATAAGGCCAAACAAAATTTATTGTTTGTTGTTCGTTGTAAAGTGACATAATACATATCCAAGGATATAGAGTGCGTAAGCATGGGAAAGTCAAAATATGGTAGTTTGCCATAATTCCTTTCAATATTATAATTCACTTCACATGAATGATAAATAACTCATGTGGCTAAAGGAAATTCTGTAAATACCCATCGGAATTTACCTATAACATGTATAATTGTAACAGGGACACAATCTGTCAGTCTTTATTATATGTCATTAAGAGAGTTGTTTCCCTTGGACCAGTGTTATTCTATGGGTCGGTGGTTATGATTTCCCGCCAGTTTGATCATGTGACTATTGTGTTCAGTTGAGCTCACGTTTTCGAGGAAGAGACATGTACATTGTCCTCATGGTTTTTAAATTTTTGTGATTTATGGAATATCAGTATTATTTATAAGGTATGTAAAGTTTAATCTGCTTTTGATGATTTCCAAAGCATTAAGTATTGTTTACCTTAATGTTGTTTTTAATTGAATTATGATAGTGAATTTGATAAGTAATTTAAATGGTTGCTGTGTCTTATTTTTGGACTCCCAAGGACTGGTTAAATATTGCAGTATCATATCTTTCTTTTCTCAACAAATGAATAAATAAATAATCTCACATTCTATTCAAACTCTATGCACACTGTTTACTATAATTTGCAGGATAGTAACAGCACACTGGAGAGAGAGAGAAGAGTGTATATTGTATTTGTGTTGATGTAAACACTTAGTTCCATAAACTGGTAAGTGTGATATATTGCTGTAAATGTACAAGTGTTTTATGATATTGTATGATAAAATGTTTGATGTTAATTAAAAGCCACTGGAATGAATATGATTGATTGATTTATGCAATTGAATATGATTGTTTGATTTATGCAATTGAACATGATTGATTGATTTATGCAATTGATTGTGATTGATTGATTTATGCAGTTCAAGAATGTTAAATGTAATATATATTTAGAATGTGTTAATTATGTATTTTCAGAGTGTGGTTACTTAGATGATTGATTGTATTGAACTAGTCTTGTCTAAGATACATGCTGTGTCAACAGAAAATAAAAGAGATACAGAACCTACAAATCCTTGACTTTTATTCACCCTTTCAAACTGATAAATTTCAAAGGAGTTACAAAGGCGCCCAACGGGGGACCAGTGGCGCAGCCTGTTTAGACGAGAAGTGCTGACAAGTGAATTTAACTTAACCGGATTGGTGATTGAAGGATTTTTAGTAAATAAGTGAATTGGATATTAATAAGTACAGATAACGTGTGAAGTTTTATAGACTTTTATCGTATCTTTACATATATTGAAGTGTTAATTGTCAAAAGTATTTGAATTTCACTCGACTACCAGAACTTTTACTGTGTTACATAGTGATTGACACATCTTGAGACACTGATATTGATCTTTGTTCAACTGATCCTTTAATCAAGATATAATTGGATTTATATGTGTATCAACCTTGTATTTGTGGAAAACAACTTTATGTAACATACAAGGATTAATTTTTCACATGTATTTAAAAAACAAACAACCTGCATTTGACATAGAAACAGACAGTTTATTGTCAAATCTTTAAATAGAAGCAGATATCGGACACTATTTTAAGTGATTAAATCAGCCGATTTACCATTATTTCGTCTTTTACCCTTTGAAGAGCAGACCTATTTCATTTGGGGACCAGACGATTATTTCTACCTGAGAAGCAGACGATACTTTAATCTTTGGAGAGCGTATCTATTTCATTTGGGGACCAGACGACGGACCTTACAGAGGAAACAACATTAATTTAGGACTATTTCATTAAGTTTTAATTATTTAAAAAGTGACATTGACATTTCATTATTATATGTGAAGATATCGAAGTATTCTAGTGGCTTGACAGTATTTCAACTGGTTGTAAGTAAAAAAAAATATTTTGTTTTTCATTAATTGGCAGTTATAATTATTAATTAATCATAGAATCTGTTATTAAATTTACTCATAGATCTTTTAGTAAATTTTGCTTAAACTTTATGTAACATAACAAGGATTTAATTTTTCACATGTATTTAAACAACAACAACCTGCATTTGACATAGAAACAGACAGTTTATTGTCAAATCTTTAAATAGAAGCAGATATCGGACACTATTTTAAGTGATTAAATCAGCCGATTTACCATTATTTTCGTCTTTTACCTTTGAAGAGCAGACCTATTTCATTTTGGGACCAGACGATTATTTCTACCTGAGAAGCAGACGATACTTTAATCTTTGGAGAGCGTATCTATTTTCATTTGGGGACCAGACGACGGACCTTACAGAGGAAAACAACAATTAATTTTTAGGACTATTTCATTTAAAAAAAAAATCGGTTTTTAAAATTATTTAAAAGTGAAAATGCGGTTTGGGGGAAAAAAAAAAATCCCCATTTGATTTCATTATACCAATTACGGAGGGCGCTGGGAACTTTTTTTTGTGTATTTTTACCGCCTAAATATCGATATCGAGTATTCTAGTGGCTTGACAGTATTTTCAACTGGTTTGTAAGTAAAAAAAAAATATTTTGTTTTCATTAATTGCAGTTATAATTATTTAATTAATCATAGATCTGTTATTAAATTTACTCATAGATCTTTTAGTAAATTTTGCTTAAACTTGCTGAAATTTGTTGAATTTCAAAATTGTAAGCATATAGCTAAAATTCTGGTAACTGCATTTTTTGAAAAATCCTACATGTACAATTGTATAATACTGTGAATCAGGGGGGTGACTATTGTAAGTGTGAGAGAAATTCACCTTTGCATGATAATATAACTTATCTAACACATCTGCAGCTTTAACATCTCCTTTTTTTTCTATCAAGTCTGTTTTGAATACTTGCATATATTGAATCGGTTTCTACAAATGTTAAACCTCTAAATTCATATATAAACATCAAAAATTTTTTAAATTTAAGGCTTTCTTAGTGTAATTGTTTTTTTTTACCACTTGAATGAAAATTTCTGAGTTAATATTTACCAATTATATATTTATTTTTCAAAGTTATTTAAATTTTTTTACAAGTACTAAATCTTAATTCAAGGAATTGTTTTGAAATTTTAAGATTTGTTAAGTGTACATGTCTCATTCTGGCCCATTGTTTACATTTGTGTGAAATCAGCTGTTCCTGTGTGTTGGGACTATTTTTCTTAGTGTATTGATACATTGAGGTCATATGCAAATGACCTGTTGGTATTTTCCAAAGGATTCTCTCATTTCATTGGTTCATTGCTTTGCATTTGTGATGCGTCATACCATGTGACAGAGGTATATTGTACATGACTGTGTTCTGATTGGACAGGAATTATACATTACCTAGTGTGTAGTCTATTGAAATCCCAGGTCACTTGTGTGTTTTATAAAAACATTACAAGACATGTATTAGAAGGTTTTGTTGACATTATTTTGTGTATTCAGTGTAATTTATCCAAAATAAAAGGTTTTATTTAGGATAAACAGTTTGAATTTGAGTGTATTTTAAAAATAGAAAATTCATTCAAGGTAAAGTTAATACTTTTATCTAGAAATTAAATTATATTTGGTATTATTGTGTATTGAAGTACAGGTTACATATTGACCTATATTTCTATAAACAGATAAAGAAGCAGAATTAGTACTAGTATAGGTAACATTATCATTTGAATAGGTCTTGTAAATTAAAGAAAAATATACAAGATTAATTCAAAGTAAAAAAGTAAAAAAAAAAAAAAAAAAAAAAAAACTTTGTGCACAAAGAAATTTATTAAGTTACTAGAGTGAATTGATTCATTTTCAGTGACTTAATACCTGGACTAAGAATATACACGGTAGTAACTACATTGCGATAAAAATTATATCTTTTTTCGTTGTGATATAATTATTTTTGTGTTACGGAAAACACAATAAACGGACATCGGTATATTTTATTCGGATTTCTGAGATTTTTGCATTGAATAAATACAATACAGTATAATAAAATATAACAAAAACATTGTTTTTATTGTTTTTCACTATCGGTTGATAAAAATTGAAGGAATTGCAACAAAGGAGTGAATTGAATCTGTTGTTGAATTGAAATTGAATTGGAGATTACAATACATACCGGTATACACTTGAAATATAGTCTACACATAAGTATTAAGTGACAATGTGACATGGACAAGAAAGTGTTGTGAAAATTGATGAAAGTGAAAAAAAAAAAGTTAAAGCTAGGATTGATGAATATCTGATTAATCAGCACACAAAGAGGATATACAGTGGTGAAATAAAAGTGAAAAAAAAAAAAAAAAAAAAAAATAGAACAATACTAAATTGAACTTCATTTTTACTTGAAATAATTTATATATTATTGCCTCATTGCGGAATTTATTTTATATTGACATAAAAAAATATATACACAGGAAATAAATTATAGTATTAAAAAGAAAATACTTATTTTGTTATATACGTTTCCATGTATATTCTATATTGATTAAGGATTTCAGTTTGACACTTAGATTTTAAGTTAAATCTCAGGTTGAGTCTAGAGGCAGATGATACATTTAAGTTGAAGACTGACTAAGTTTAGAGTTATCTTAAGTTGAGTCTCAAGTTGCGTTACGTAAATTAAATTATAAAGTTATATGTTTTAACCTTTATTTAAGTTGAGTGTACTTGAGTTACGTGATATATCCTTACTTGACTTGAGGGAGTATTGAGTTAAGTGATACTACTTAAGTGATGTATTAAATTAAGTGGTGATACTTAAGTGGTTACTTAAGATCGGTGGTTCTTACTTAAGTAAAACTTAAGTGGTACTTAAAATTGAATTATACTTAAGATTAATGATATTTTAATTTTTTAATTAAAGGAAACTTAAGTAATAAGAATACAAACTTAAGTTGAGTGTGATACTTAAGATAAGTATAAGGGAAATATTTTTGTAAGTGAGTGTTTTTGCTAATAATATACAATTACACTTGATTATTTTGTGGTGATTTCCCTAGTTTTATGTGTTTTATATTATAATGACATATCAGATCACTCAAACTTAAGTGAACACTTTTAAGTAACTAAGTTAGAGTATTATGAATTGATTACTAATTGTGAAACACTTGTGTATTTTTCAGTGAATATATTAAGTAACTATATTGTAGTGAAAGGACACATAGATGATAGACACATGTGCTTAAGTTACGTGGATAATCAAGTCAATACTTAAGTTAAGTGTATACTTAAGTCAATACCCTTAAGTTAAGTGAAAAAATTACAATTCAAGGAATTGGATTTTTAATACAAAAAAGGACATTGATTTTAAAGGGATATATAGTACCCCCCGTGAGAAGATATGGAGGAAAAGTAAAAACTGAGTTTAGGCAACTTGGAGGAAACGCCAAAACCCTTCTTGAAGAGAAGCCATGGAGCAATGATAAGTGAGGAGGGAAAAAGATATTAGAGGCTTTTCATAAAATTGCCAAGATCAAGCCAAAAAAAGTTAGATGATCCTGATGATTTATTAGCATTTTATGGAAGATGTGAAGACTTTGAAAGTTGAGCTCTGGAGTTGATTCCGACACACTGAAGATGATAGGAAGCTATCACTTTTCCAAAAGTCTCAAGTTTTTACGGAGAAGACAACAAGGAAAGATGTGACGTGGGAGAGATTTCAGCATTGATTGCCGATAAGTTTCTTTTCAGAAGAACAAAATTCTCTTGGAGTTAGAAGATCTGTGAAGGGCAAATGCCAGTGGATGTGGTACGAAAAGAACTCGG